ATTTTGACGCGCCTTTCCTTGGTGAATCTGAAACAGTAAAAGTTATATCAGGTAACAGAAGAAGGAAAAACGTACAACATCCTTTCATAAGTTTGTTATTTTGGGTAGCATAAATAAATCTCAAACGATGCTACAATCATTCCACATTAAGTACCATCAAACTGTAAACGTGAATATGTTTAATTATAAGATGCCATAATCATTGAACTAACCTCCTGAAGAAACAAATATATGGAATAGGGGTCCGGCCTTGTAGAGTAGAGAAGAAGCAATGTGTTGATGGCAAGAACCATTGGTTTCCGCCAACCATACACAATCAAAAGAATCAAACCGATAGGCAGCTGAAATTTTCTGACCAAATTCCAGAATTTCCTAAGAACTTGTTTCGCATATGGTGAGAGCACAGTGATATCTTCTGATGGGCTCTTTGTCGGTCGCTCTGCGATGCAAGCAATTACACACAGGAAAAATGTGCATTAGGATAATAATAGTGACTAGCATTTGGATTATCTGTAGCTAGGTCTAAGTATGTGTAACAACTTAAACGGAGTTTTTTCAAGGGGGGAACTGAATGAAATTGGACTATAGGTATCAACTTCACTAAACTCTGTCCTATACATACCCAATTACCAGATCATACCAAAGCATGCTCAGGAAAAAGAACATATCGAAGAAATGAACTAAACGTTTTTCTCCATGTGAGCAAGCACTAGAAGGAAAAAAAAACATATACTGTGCATTCTAATGTGCCGGGTGTGTGTGGCAAGAAAATTACCTTGTGCCTCAGCAACCTTTGTGGGATAAAGCATCACAGCAATTGCGGTGCCCCCGGTCCCAAATCCCCTCAGCAAACCTAGAATAATGGATAAAGTCAGTGAGCACAATCCTGGTCAACTGATTGTAGACCAAAACATGGTTATCTGAGAAATGTTTTTGAGACAAATACAAGGAGAGCTTGAAGGAGGGCTTAGACTACCTGGAAGCTTCGGACGAACTCCGGGGGACACCCTCGCGGCCAGCAGAGCTCGGAGCATGGGGGCGCGAGCCTGAAACGCGGGGGTCGAGCTCGAACACCGCGACCAGATGCCCTGCAACGCGTGCCTGACGGGAACTGGCGGGGAGTCACTCGAGGGTGTCAGCGCGTGGATCAAACAAACGAGGACGCCGGATAAGCAAGGAACTCACGGGTAGGGCTGGCGGCGGGAGGGCCGCAGAGGGCGGAGAAGGTGCGGGCGGGGGCGAAGTGGGGAGAGAGGCCGCCCCGCCGGAGATGCGCCGCGGCGGCGCCGCTCGCCAGTCGCCTCCACGCCATTGTCGGCAGCCTCCCTTGGTCTCGGGCAGGATCGAGCGGCCCTGGCAGTGGTAGCTTGGCTTCGGAGAGGAGAGGAGGAGGGGAGGACGAGGAGGAGAACTCCGGAGACGGCGGGGCGAGAACGGGGCGCTTCTCCCCCGCTGCCGAGTCCCGTTCCGTCTCGCCGAGTTTTGGGCCGTGTGGGCTATTAGGGGTTTCGGGCCTGTAAAGCAGAAGAAACTTCATGACCCATTTACAAAAGAGATACTAGCACGCTAGGCCCAACTCTAACCAAGCCCATATTCCCAATGCGCCTGGTCGATCCGTCACTTCAAAGACCGGTCGATCCGTCACTTCAAAGACCGGTCGGAGACGGCGCTCTCCTCCTCCGGCCGAGCCGACCCACGACCGCCGCCGATCCGTGCCGTTCTTCTCTCCCGTTCGTGCTGACGGCTGACGGCGGCGCCCTTTCCTCTATTCCGTCTGAAGAAAACAGCCCCGACCTCGGTTCGTTAGCTCTCAACTTTAGATGCTTATACGGATCATGTCTTCCTTTCTTTCGATTTGGATGGTTGATTGACAGATGAAGCTGTGGTTCTTAGCGTTGTTGTTGCGGTTAATTTTTATGCCCAGTCCCATGATTTCCCTGCTAAAGGCAAATAAGCTTTAGTATCGCTCAGCAGAACGCAAGATGTCGGTTCAGCAGGTGTATGTTATCTGCTAGATTTGCATCGATTAAAGTAGTTATTATGTCCGTAGATTTCATCCTTGCTTTCATTTTCCCACCAATTCCAGATATGTCTCTCCATGATTGTGTGACTTGTGGGTTCTTTGTTGTCTGCTCAGAGATTTAGAGATAAATAGGCCGGTACCTTAGTTAATGTTCTTTGGAAAGCTGAACGCATGAATCTTTGATATATACTTGAAAGAACGATTTTTCGTATATCGATGATACTTGAGTGTACATATTTCAGAATTTCGATTGTTGTACTTTAATTAATTGACGACTTAATGTCCAAAGGAGTATGTTAGGAAAACCATATAGTTTCGGTTCTATTGATGCAACTTGCTCAGGAGCATCTAGGTCCTCATGGAGGAGGTTTTCATGTGTTCAGTCAGAACAGTATTATCTCGTAGACTCATATTTCTGATTGGTTGTTTCTGGATCCCTTCTTTCTTTATTATTTCGGCAGTTTCAGATACTTGGGATGATAATTACTTCGATGTTGTTCCTTATTACTTATTTGTAAGGCATGAATTTGCACCAGTATAATAGTTATCTTGATCGCTATCGCTAAAGTGATCTTATAGCCCTGCTTGCTTAACTCTGATTCTCATTAATTTCTGTCCAGTGCTCTGCGTACCTATTGAACCTCAGGATTACCATACTTGCACTACATTGCTCGATGGAGGATCTCCCAGAGGAACTGTTTGCAGAATTTCTCAAAAGGATCACCAGGACAAGTGATCTGAATTCTTTTTCCCTTGTGTCGAAGCGGCTCTACAAGATTGAGGGAGATCAGAGGGGTGCTATCCATATTGGCTGTGGCCTTTTCCCTGCTACGGAAGCCTTGGCATCGCTGTGCACCCGATTCCCTAATTTGTGTAAAGTGGAAATCGACTACTCTGGTTGGACGGTAGGCCATGGCAATCAGTTGGACAACCAAGGCCTCTCTGTGTTATCATCTCACTGCCCCTCGCTGACTAGTCTCGGTTTAAGCTTTTGCTCATACATCGATGACTCTGGTCTTGGTTATCTAGCCTGTTCCAAGAAACTAGCGTCCCTCAGGTTGACCTCCACACCAAACATAACTTCAAGAGGGCTTCTCACCGTGGCTGTTCGTTGCAAGAGTCTTTCTGCTCTCCACCTTATTGACTGCCATAAACTAGGTAGCAAAGATTGGTTGGAGTACCTTGGCTCTGTAGGATCATTGGAAGAGCTTGTAGTAAAGAAGTGTGAGGGCATCAGCCAGGATGACCTCCTGAAGTTTGGCCCAGGATGGATAAATTTACAGAAGTTTGTGTTTGAAATCAAGAAAAGATTCTTTCGTAATGACGGGGCTGGGCCTGGTGAGGGCTATGATCCCTCATACGACCCTCATAGCCTGAATATGTATGATTTCAGTTGTGAGAATATGAAGGACTTGAGGTTGGCAGGTATCGAAATTGCGACAGGAAAAGGACTTCGTTTTCTCTTTGGGAGGTGCAAAGCACTGGAGAAGCTTTGCTTGGAGTATGTTCGGGGTCTAAATGACAACGACATGGTTGCATTATCCCAGAGCTGCAACAATCTTAAAAGCGTCTCACTTTGGCTGGATCCTCAGAATTATTACGATACTTTCAGGACGGCATTTACTGATAACAGCCTTAAGGCTCTATCTCTCAGTTGCCCTATGCTTGAGAGTGTTGATCTCACATTTACAGGTTGCTCTGCCATCTACACGTCAGAAATAGGCTTCACACGGAAGGGCCTAGTGGCTCTCATTAAGTCTTGCCCGATTCGTGTTCTCGTGCTAAGGGGTGCCAACTTCTTTAATGACAAAGGGATGAAGGCCGTCTCATCTGCTCCATTACTGGAGACACTCGAGCTTGTGGATTGCCAGGCCATAAGTAATGCTGGGCTGCGGTTCATTGTGCGTGCCCCATGCTTGATTAATCTCACGCTCCGGCTCTGTGACCGTGTGACTAATGCTGGAGTATCGAAGCTGGCACATTCACAGAAGTTAGAGTCTCTGATCATTGAACGTTGTTCCCGGGTCTCTGAGCAGGCTGTGCGTGGGGCTGCCAGATCAGTTCAATACTCCGAGTCTGTACCCCTCAGCGAGCTAGAAAAATTGTTCGCAACTTCGTGCAGTTGATGAAGTGGCCTCCAAAATTTGTCAGTTCAAAACCCTCTTCTGAAGTGATCAAGGTGTTGCTTGGTGCTGGCTCTGAATCAGTTGGATGTCCCTGACATCAACTCCGTTATGCTTCTGCATCTTCTCCTTATCTCTCTGAACTTGTTTTTGCTTCGACCTTTTGCTGTCGTTATTTGCCTTAGTGCGAGAGAATCTGCAGGGTATTTTTGACTTCGTACCGGTGCACTTTTCTTGCTCTTGTAGTTTATTTTCCTCAGCTTGATGTTTCCAAAATTCAGTTACCTACGTGGTTGGGCAGTAAGGTTTTTGTTGCCCAAATTATCAAACTTTGTGAAACTGATATTGCAGAAGTAGTTGTGTGGTAAGCGTAAAAATAAGTAGTTTTGGAGAATTATGTAGCTGTACTTCTATATATTTTTCTGGTGAGATTTGTTATACTTACACATGATTTCTCAAAATTTGTTGGCCTGCACATAAATCGACATTGCATTGAGTTGTCAGAGTTTTGTTGGGCTCTACGTAGTAACAAAGCCTGCTTTTCGCCCGTTTTGTTTCTTTCGAAACGTCACCTGCAGCATACTGTCACTTATTCAGGAAACCCTGAAATATAAAGGTCATTTGATTTGAGTGATAGAAGTATTTTGTAAGATATAGTGAAAAGCAATTGTTACCAAAAAAACTTAATATTCAATTATGAAACAACCCAGATAACAAAGGTTTCTGAGAATTTCGTTTCTCCATTTTTCTATAGAAAGATGCCCAAGATAGAAATAAAAAAACACAGAATATGATTTCCTTTGACAAGCGAGCGTTCTAAGGGCAACTACAAGGCTATCCCTAAGGATGGCAATTTTACCCATGGGTACGGGTACCCGCGGGTATCATACCCGCATGGGCAGGGTATGGACACACTTTTATACCCACGTGTAGTACCCATATCCTACCCATTAAGTCATGGATAGGGTACGGGTATAGTCTTGTACCCACGGGTATACCCATACCTTGCCCGTTTGTGAACTAATCTTAAGTTGTCGTCAATTAGTCATTAATTTGTCATGTCACTCGTCTAATCCTATTGACTTGAGAGTATGTTGTGATTTCTAAATTTTGATATTGGTTAATTACTCATCTACCTATTATTCTGATGAGATAATTGTTTTTTTGTCAAATGTGCTATCAATGAGCATAAAATTGTGAACAACCTGTGTACTATTTGTCCTACCCGCTGGGTACCTAATGGGTATGGGTACCCGTCGGGTATGGGTATGGGTAAAGTTTCATACCCATGGGTACGGGTATGGGTAGAATTTTGTACCCACTTACTGTACGGGTATGGGTATGGTATTGCTCTACCCTGCCCATACCCTACCCATTGCCATCCTTAGCTATCCCTCAAATGTCCGTGGACATCTGGCCGGGTGGATGTCATCCAACGTTCTCCCTCAAATAATTGCCCCATCCATCTTTTTAACACGCTGAATATTGAAAAGAATCAAAGATAGATACCATGATCCATGAAAGATAAATATTCCAATACAACAATAATTCAACATAAAGTTTGAAATAAAAAGTTTAATTTAAATTCAGTTTATTTGGACACAAGCTCTAGTTGTCTATATGAACCGTCCACAAATGCTCCATCACATCATTTTAAAGTTGTGTTTGAGTTCCTCGATTGGGAATCTGATGATGCATCCGAAAAAATTGCTCAAACATTGCTGCTTTCTGCTCAAGAAGCTGGACAAGATCACACATCTATTCAAATCCATAACTTGGTGAATTGCCTCACCCTCATCCTCCACAATCATGTTGTCCATGATCACATAAACTATCATCACCTCTCACATTGTCTCTGGATCTCATCGTTTGGTAGGTCCGTAAACAACTACAAAACGGGCTTCGATCAGTCCAAATGTCCTCTCAACATCCTTTTACTTGCAACAACGTGTGGTTTTTGCTTACCTAGTGGATTGGAGATGGTCTTGACAAAATTCGCCCATGAAGGATAGACACGATCACAAAGATGGTACCACATGTTGTACTCATGCCCATTTATGGTATAGTTGCACGCAGGAGCTTTGCTCGCACACACACCCTTGCAAACAATGGAGACCGTGCATCATGTTGATGTCATTATGAGACCCTGGCATGCCAAATAAAGAT